TTAAGTTATTCTTGTTTAAAGTTATAAAAAATTTTTATTATAAAAAATTTGCTTGATTTCTATTGACTCACCCCCAATTTTTACAAACTTGTAAAATTTGAATTTAAAAAAAAAAATTTATTAAATTTGATTAAGTTTTTGTTAAGTTATTCTTGTTTAAAGTCTTAAAAAAAAACATTAAAAAATATTTGCTTGGTTTCTATTAAATCAACCTCATATATAAATATTAATAAAATCTAGTTTAAAAATTTTAACAACAAAAAAATTTACAACTATTTTTTTAAATAAATTAAAAAAAAAAATGTTTTTTTTTGCAAATTTTACATATAAAATTGAATAAGTTATTTTATTTAATTTATAAATAATTAATTTTAAGCAATTTTTAAGAAAACATGTTCTATAAATAATATTAATAATTAATTTTATATATAAAACGTATATAATAATTAATTCTATTGATCATATTGCAAATTAACGGGTATTAATATATGATGCTATAAGCATCTTATAAATCAATCAAGGCTACATGATACTCTTTTCTAACAGAGTTAAAACATTTAATTTTTCTTCCTTCCTGCAATAAAATAAAATAAAACAGGGTTATTAATTTTGAATTCCAATAGGAATTTCTGGTCTTATAGTGAAATTTTGCAATAGTAAAAGCCCCAATAATACTATTAATTTTACTTCTAGCGGCTTTCTAGTGATTTTCTAGTTTTCTAATAACAACACTAAAATACAATATATATCATATTATAATAAACCAACATACCTGTTGTGCAGTCTTTAGCTCTTTGATAGTAATTACACCAGGAATGATATCGCCATTTTCAATAAGGTACGACCTCATTACACCAGATAGTAATCCTATTCAAATTACACTTTATTAATTATAGTATTATAATAAAAATCAAAAAAAGATTTCTAAATAAATATTTATTAATTACCACATTCAATTTCCGGGGTTTTCCAAAATAATTTACCATTATTATCGAAAAATTCAACAGCAATATTAGAAATAGAACATTCAGTAATTTCATTTCTTTCGTTATACATTAATACGTCAAATATATCGTCTTTGTTGTTGGGTCCCGGGATCAGATCTAAGTGCACCTATATTGTAAACCTAATTAATGAATTTAGATAAATAAAGTAATATTGCATTTAATACAAACATGTTGACGAGCATCATCATATATCTTCCTATTGGTGGTTTTATGATAAAGGAATATATTATCGGAAGGAGTAAACTTTGTGTCTAAAACTATTTTTAATGGTTCTAAAATGAAAATTAAAAATGAAAATGGAATTATAATGCTTGTTTTTTTCTTATATAGTGTACCTGGTACACCAAAGATTGTTACGCCATATGGCATGCCTTTTTGCCAACACCTGGGCCAGGATGCCACTAGCATACAATAATATATTTACAGTATTATATATATATTTACACAAATTTTATTTCGATATAATATATATAACGTATTATAAATATGATTTTTATACTGTACTTAGTGGCATGTAGAATTGGTCCATGCCGTAAAAGCATGCCGATAAGACATTGCGGCCAAACCCTTTTTTTTTTTTTTGACCTTTCGATCAATGTTAGCCACCGGCAATAGCCGATGGTCAAACTTTGGCCAACCAAAAGTTTCTATTGAACCAATCAAATTACAATGCAATTTCGACCCAGTGTCTGAAATTCAATTTTTAAATTAGTTGTGGACCGTGACCAAATAAAAAAACTACTTGCGGATTATAAAAATTTATAAATGAGTGTCGCCAAACGAAAACCAGGAATTGAGGATTTGGGTTCAAAATCCCGAACAACAGATTAGTAATAAAAATATCCTGAGTAATTGGGTATTAGCGGAAACGAAGTTTCCGCTTGTACGGATCAGGGTATTTTCGAAAGAACACAACACTGACTAAATTGGCCAGCATTATAGCTAGTGCTGGCTAACTTTGTCGGTATTATGTTCTTTCGGGAATATGTTTTTCGGGATTTTGACCCAAATTCGGAATTGAAAGTTTTCCAAAATTAATTTTACAGATCAAATGTGATTTAACACACCATATAATATAACTTATGTTGTGCTTAATTTAAATTTATCAGAAATCGGATCAGAAAGCGGAGCCGGCAAAAATCGAAATTGCAGGTTTTCGCTTGGCGACATTTAAACATTTAGTTGCGCACTTAAACATTTAATTCATATTTTGGTTGCAGACCGCAGACTCTGCAACACAATTTCAGACACTGTTCGGCCAA